CGCTGACGTGGAAGCTTAAGAACCCCCTGATCTGATGTCAATCAATTAACTTGCTTTGCTTTTTGAAGTCCTGTTTGTTACTATTTTGTCTCTAGTCAAACTCGATTTAGCTTTTGGAACAATTAATAGGAGCAGTAACTAAAGTAGTCTGATGGAGATTAAGTTGCTATAATCATGTATTGGGGAAGGATTTCTGAAGATTAACATGGATTATGTAACCTGTAATCTGACAGCTGGCAGTTATTTGCTTATTACTTGCCTTTTTTTTTCTTCATGTTACAATTAATATGCATTTAGGGTGGTCCCACTTCCATGGATAGGAGTGGTTTTCTCGTGAATAGTGTGTTTTCTTTGGGGAAAAACAAAACTGCAAAAGTGGTTAGTTTCTCCAATGGTATTGCAGTTTGGATAAAGTGGAAATACTCGTGAAATCCTCAAAACACGATAATAAATCAAGTTATAATATAAAAATAATCGAGATTCTCATGTTTACGGGGTCTGAGAGCAGGAGAAAAGTGGAAAGCGATGTTAGCTGGTCAAACGTGGTCCTCGAGGCATGATCTGGTAATTTGATTTTTATTAAATTTTAATAAAATTGATAAAATGTGTGATTGAAAAGTCGCGAAATTTTTGAAATATGGGCATTTTAGGTACAAGCTCAAAAAAATTGGTTGAAAAAAGTTGTAAAATTAATCTAGTCATCGCATCTTACAAAACTTAAATACGAAAAATTCCTATAATTCTTAAAAAGAAAACTAGGTTGCAACATCCTACTATTTTAACATGCTTAAATTATTTCATAAATTAAATTTATTTTCGTGAATATATTGACTTTTTAGTGATATTAAACCTCATTTAAGATTTTTAGTAATTGAGTGTTCATCTACACTCGAGGAATGATCTAAACTTTCAACACAATTCATACCCTAACATTTTTTGACCTCCTACACGACAATCCTACAATCCACCAAAGAAAGTAGGAAAGAAATACACTGTCAAAATTTCGTTCTTTTTATCACTTAAAACACTTGCTAGAGAAAGTTGATTTTAGTGCTTTTGGAAGAAACGTAGAGTTTTCGCATTATCCATCTTGTTATTCATCAAATTTCATCTTACGATCCACGAGGTAGATACATCCGTGCAAATGGTTTTATTTCTTGCTCCAATCCTTCATGATATAATGCATATCGTTAGATTGTGACCTTGAAGTTAGGCGAAAATTTTGTTGAAAAATTGGTTTTAATTAGTTGGTTTGATTAATTATTTTAGTGGGTCTTGTTAGTCTGGCAAAAGATTTCTTTGGGAGAGTGTATTCTACTCCATGAGTAGATTAATGTAATGTCTTTATTTTTTCAAAATCAATTTAGGGTGAATGAGAAATTAAGGCCAAACCACTTGAAGTTGAAATAAATTGGGAATAAAAATTGGTGGAAAATT